CTCTCTCTCTCACACACACACACACACACACACACACACACACACACACACACACACACGTGTGCGCGTGCACACGCTGCAAAGAAGTGCCTGGCAGGTCATTGACGGAGAAGGAGAAGGACAAAAACAGGGGTCTGCGACCAACTGTTTCATCAAACTTCCATTGACTCGTCAGGTCTGAAGACTCTGAACCCACCACCCTTGTATGTCAAGGTCCCCAAATCATGGTCCAGAGGTCAGATATTCGAAATCTCTTCCGGCCATTTGTCCTTGTCTTTGTCAAGGACCCTTGCTACAACCTCCCAAAACTCTGTAGTCTGTCTGCCATTGTCCACCTCCCTCAGGCCTAAGCATGTCTGTGACACATAAAAGTAGTGGTGTCCAGGTCTGTCTTTGCACCTTCGGACCGGTCTGTCCTCACACCTTGAAGACTGCCCACATCCTTATGCATACCTTGCAGTTCATGCTCCTAGATACGCTTCTCACCACTCCACACTGCAAATGATTTCTGACAATGATTTTGAAACAGTTCAAAACTATCATGCATCCTCAACTAAATATAAATACACATCTGCCTGTGCTGACACCTGCCTCCTCGTTTCTCTCTGCTCCCCGTCTTCCGGCATCCCTTAGCAGCTCAGCAAAAGGTTGCTCGCACTCTCCATCACCTTTGTTCTACCTTGCTTGACACAACCTACCCAGACTAGCTGCTCTTACAACCCTATCACTCCCCTGAGTCCCTCCCTTTCTCCGCCCCTTCATGACCATTTAACACCCAAAGCATCTAACCAGCTGCAAATAACACATTTCATAAACGCCGCAACACTGCCCTTGAGTCCGATTCCATGCACCACATCGAACACTATTTTCCGAAGTTCAATGCTCAAACTACCAACCAGTGGCAACCACAAATTTCATAAATGTAGGAAGGGGCAAAGGCGATATTTACACTGCACTGAACTGCCACTCAAATACACGCAAGTAGAACTGGGAGAGTGGAAAGAAGGGGCTGAATTCACAGACAGGAAAAAAGCAGAAAGACTCACCGTGTAAGATGTTATGCTTCAGTCTTCAAGTCATGCCAAATGAACCTGCTTATCACAGAGAATCACGTAAGCTTTCGTAATTTCCTGTTTAAGACATCGCATCCGGTAAAGTTTAGCGACCGCGCGTTTCAGGGCCCAGATGCGGCACACAGGGTCAGTTTGACTTCCTCTTTCTCCTCCTCATCGTTCAAGCTTCAATGTTATAAACACTTGAGGATCACCAGAAGTGCTTGTGTGATGGCTAGATGCGAGCATTTCAAACGAGAGTTGTCCGCATGTACACAATTGAAGGCATGGGATTGTAAGGGGATTTGCTGTGACCAGTTAAATCTTCCTACACATTGGGAGGGCTAAGGCCCCCCTCCACGTCATACTTATCCCTACTAGTCCTGAGTGCTAGCCATGACCGAAAACAACACTGTGACATATGCTGAGAAATAATAACAAACCATCCACCCATGAAACTGCTGTGGACCGTCCTCAGATCTCTCCTCGTTCCACAGGACACGCAGTAATGCACACAAACAGGTTACATAAGTGAAATAGAGCACAACATGCACACACATAGACAAATCACATATATATAAATATATATTTATCGTGTGTGTGTGTGTGT